CCTCTGCCCTCGCCTCGCTCCGAGGCCCCCAGCCCCCCTGAGCCCACTGAACCGCTTTTCCCCGCATCTTCCCCTTACGACACATCAACGGCCCGTAGACCTTTCTATGATATTCTGAGAGTGCTTCCCCTGACGAGTCGATCTAGACTCGGCCTGACCAGTCTCAGGTGCCGTAGAGTGTTGCGGCCTAGTGCGGCCGTGCACCGGGATTCCGCCAGTCTTGCGGGGCGTCCCCCGGATCTTTCCAGCTGGTTTGCGCAGCGCTATCCCGGTGCAGTGTTGGGGGGAAGTGTTCCGAGTCACTTGCCTTGACTCCACGTTTCTTACCCTCTCCTGCCACCTTCTGGGCGTTATATAATTTTCTTTAAACATTTTTAAATTGCGTTTTTACGAGATGACTTAAGTGTTAGGAGCATATATTTGTCTTGCAATTGATGTTGTTCTTTCAGTCTTACAATGAATATGTTCCACTTTGCTGTGTTGCTTTACCTGCAGCACAACATATCTGTTTTTCGCATGTCAGGTTTTTTTTATAAATAGCCTATCTTTTGCTGGTACTGATTATTTCCAACAATAGGTGCAGATCTTATGATTTGGTTTCATTTTATTTTCCTTTGTGAGGAGCACTAAATCACTGAACTCATTCTCTAGTTCTTCTGCTGCTGCTTACTGTATACTGGGAACTTATATGGTAATACTTTAAAAACAAACTTAACCAGCTACAGAATATAATTGTCAGAAACAGTGTGCCCACTTTATTATTCTTTCTCCCTTTTGCCTTTTTTGGATATCAATTTGGGGCCTACGTAGGCTCTGGAACCATTTTAAGTAGCATTGCATGTGAAAATATATATATATAGCCTAGAAGACAATGAATAACTGTTAACAATTTATAAAACCACTAGCTAACTATAGCAAATAGGGTATTAATTATTGGTTAAAAATTCTGAAAGCATATCTTATAATTTTTCTTAATTGTTTTACCTGTTCGTTTAGGTTATCTTCATTTATATTTTTTGCAATTTTCTTCTCAGCTTCTTTCCTTCATAAATTATCAGCGTGGAGACCATTGTCTGTGCATTTATCTGGTTGGTTTCTTCAGTGCGGTTTGTTTGATGGGTTGTTTTGGTCTCTGCTTGTTGGGGTTTTGGGGGTTTTGGGGGGCTTTTTTTTTTGTTGTTTTTTCAGAAAATCTGCATGAAAATAATTTTATATGCTGATGAAGTTCCGATTTGTATGTTACGAACACTAAGTTGACCTCTTTATGTTTCATCAGTGAGGATTACTGCTGAACATACGAAATGTGAGCATAGCAGCTGCAAACTGCATTTCAAATTCCCCCCATCTGCAGCAAACAGCAGAAATCAGTATGAAGTGGCTTCCCTGGGCTTTGTTGCCGTGTATGCCTCTAAACCCTCAGAGCTTGGGCTGTTACATAGTAACAGGAATTCTGCTAACTACTATCAATGGAGTTTGAGAACTTTATGAACTGATTTTGCCATATGGAGGAAAAGTAAAAAAATTCCACGTGGGTTAGGAATTTTGCAAACATTTTTGACTTTCCTCACTACACTATACCAGAATGTTATCTGCTTGTGCCATATCTGGAGTTTCCAAAGGGCAATAACTGTGAGTTGCTTGTGGACAAGAAGGCCTCATTCCCATCCTACCCTTACAATTCAGGAAGGAGCTCTAATATGGTTGTTACAAAACCACTGTAGGTCACATCCTTCTTCCATCAGCTTTGGGAATCTGTGACCTGGAAAATGATTCTTTCTCACCCATACTTATTAGTAGATCTATACTGTTGACTAAGCATAAAACGACCCTTCTTATCATTCTCATCCTTTTGCCAGCTCCAAAAGCAGCTTTTAGGTCTCATGCTGTGTCAGAAACTGCTGTTACTCCACCCGACAAAAAGAAAAATGAAAAGATACAATCCATTTGAGCTTCTTCAAGCTGAGCAGCAGGGCTTCTATCTTCCCAAGAGTGTTAGTGGACAAAGGCTGGAAGACAGAGAAATAGTTTTCATTTGTATTTGAATGGTGTTTCTGTGATTTCAACACTGATCTATTTCCTGACAATGAGGCATATTTTTTTGCATGAGAAAAAAAGAAATAAAATTGATATGTCTTTCAAATGTGGAATACAGACTTTTTGAACATTTTGTAGTGCATAACCCACGATGAACCTTGCCCTATATGTAGAAATTGTAAGACAAATAGAATAAGCTTGCCCTACAACCAAGCCAAAAGCCTCACCCTTGTGGAAACCACAACTCCTGGTGAAGAAATTAGCTGTTATTCATTTACACATGGGATATTGAAAATACTGAATCAACATTTATTATAGGACATTTTGACTTTAATTAGTCATTCAGGAAAATAAATGTCAGTAGCCACAGAGGAAAGCAATGGGAGCCTGTGACTCTTTTAAGCAGAAAGAATCAGTGATTCATGATTTACAGAACAGTAGGACACCTGTGCTTGGCATCAGCTTTGAGATTTTTTATTAAAACACAGGAAAACAATCATTTGGTACTACCTACCCCATTCCTCTTTGGAATAGGAGCAAGGGGAAATGTTTGGTTTCTGTAAACAATCTACATAAATTTGAATTCATCTAGAGCAGGTGTGGGATTTTAATGCACATTTTCCTGTCAATGGCTCCTTTTTTTAATTTTTTTTTCTATTCACCTCTAAAAAAACCCTCTGGGTAGAATCTCTGCAAAAGCCTGTGCTAGTCCATAAACATGTTTATTTCCTGGAAGGAAAGTCACAACATTTAAAAAAAATATTTCAGTATTACTACTGACACTTACTGATTCAGAAAATGAAGGGAAGGTGAATGGAGTGATGATACCCAAATACAACTTCTACCTGAAGAAACAGGAGAATATCAAAGTCTGGAGAAGCCTTCCTGCTATACCTGTGTTAATTGCACCAAGTTGTTAATTTGAGCACTTGCTCTCTGTTTTGGGTTATATTTTATAGTGGCTGCAAAATAAAATTTTAATCTACAGTGGCTGAGAAATAAAAACCTACTTACTGGATTAAAATACAAATATTTGGATGATTCTAGGATATTATGTTTGAACATCCAAAAGTAAAATACATCTGAATAAAAAAGCCAGAGAGGTAATTTATCTCTGAGTTGCATCAACGCTCAAGTCTGCCCTTCCTGTGTTCTGGTTTTATGCCCATCTTTGGTTTTGGTCTGCACTGTAGAGGAGATCATAATGACTTTTTACCTATATGCATCCACAGCCTGATACTACCAATCTGTCCTTTCTTGGTCGCAAATCTCTCACACATGGTGGGTAGGGATTACCTCCAATGTTCAGTAATATATCTTACATGAAGCAATGATGAGCTTGAGACACCAGCATCAGATCACTAAACACTTCAGTTTCTAAGTGAGTCAACAAAATATCGTGACAATGAAAGCCAAGAAAAAAGTTGATGTTCTGTTTATATTTCCAGGAATCTTGGAATCCGTTTCTGTCTGAAGGAATTAGGGAAAAATAAAAAGATTACTATGAGTCTCTCAAAGTTTGATAAGGATTACAGTACTCCTTGTACAAGTCCAGAGAATTCACAAAAAGCTGCAATTAAATATGAATAACTTGATACAAACAAACTACTTATATAAAGATATCAAAGAATTACAAAATATTAGCCCCAGTGCCTCCGGGAGGCGTTGAACTCTCTATTCTTTGTGCCTATGGGATTACTACTGCTAGTTCAGAAAAAAATATTTTCCTCATTGTCAGCATTCTGATACAGCAATCAGTAATGTCACTGAGGACCTTAATCCTCCCCCATTATACATAATAAACATCAGATTAAATGGGCATTAAACACAATTTCCCATTTCTGTGTTTAATAAATAATCACAGTCCTGCAGTACACTTTGTAGTTTTGTCATGATCGTTATCACAGCCACATAATCCAAAACACATATTTACCTTTGTTTTATAGGTTTTATAGATTACTGAAAGAGACCTCACTAAGGTGTATTTTTTTCAATATTTACCTTTGAACAAAGGTTTGAAAAAAACCCTGGTATTCCAAATTACTGGTACTTGATCTAACTGTAGCCCTTTAGATTTTTCAATTAAACACGGGTAATTAGAAAAGAATATGACAGTTCACAAAGGCTCAAGTTACTGTGTTTTTTTATTTTCACAGTCCCAGATAGCGGGAACTCTATTACCTACATTTCATTCGCCCTTTTACATTTACTTTTCACCCTGAATATATTTGTTCACACATTTTTGGGAGCTGATGGTAGCCCGGACATCTAATGTATGAAACACGATACTATTGCAGGCAGACTGTTAAATGGTATTTAAAAGAAAGCAGCATGGCCTTGCAAACGAAGCAAAGAAGTGATATACTGCAATTGCAACCATCATGACTCCTGAATTTAACAAAGGAATGCGACTTCATTAAGATTACATTGAAAGTGCAATGACAGAAACACCAGTCTTCAGAGGGGGCACGTCGGAGATTTGTTCCAGTGAAATACCGAAGCAGAAGGAAAATAACATCGACTTTCACACATGCAGCTAAAGCACAAACGCCTCCCCACAGGACGTTAGCTGAGACACCGGGATTGCTGAAGGGACACTGAGAGGGATGATTTCGGAGGGAAGCGGCTCAGCCGAGGGAGTCAGCTCTGCATCCGCGCCTGGGACCATGGGGCGAAACTGTGTTACTTCCTCGGCTTTAATATCAATTTACTGTGAGACCAACCGTCCAAACCACCTTGGTTTTGACCTGCTCTGTAGGGAACCTTCTAAAGAACAAGATTTCATGCCAGTTGTGCCCATTTAGCCCATGGTATAATTTTAATTTAAAATAAAACCAGAAGGTTTCTCTCTGCCGAGGTCTCTGCGGCTTCACGCTGCTAAGTTTCAGCGGTCGCGTTTCCCTCATTTCTACTCCTTCCAATGGGAAACTCCATTAGCTTGTAGGACAGACTCCCTCCTCTCCTCTCGGGCAGAAACGGGGTGCATCGGCAGCAAATTTCGTGAGGAAAAAGTCCTTTTTGGACCGGGAAAAAACACAACGGGTGCGGCGGCGGGCGGTGGAGCAGCGCGCGGCGCACCAATCAGCGCGGCGCGGCGCTGCTATAAAAGGGGCAGCGGCGGGCCGACCGCCTAACATTGTCGACCCGGGAATCCCAGCCACGAAGCATTGGATGAGACGCTCCCGGTCGCTCGCCCGATGTCGCCGCCGCCGCCCCGGCTCCGGCTAAGGCTCCGTGGCCTCCAAGAAAAGCCGAAGAAAAAGTTTGGCAGCCGGAACATCAACAAAGCCCGCAAGCCCGCGGGGCCCAGCAGTCACCGGAGCTCATCACAAGGCCGTGTCCCGCCTCCAAGGGAGCGCAATGGGGCTCATCCCTCGACCTGCGCTCAAAGAAGGGCTAGGCTGCCGGCGGCTACGATGTGGAGAAAAGTAACAGCCGTATCAAGCTGGGAATCAAGAGCCTCGTTAGCAAAGGCGTTCTGGTGCAGACCAAGGGCACTGGCGCCTCTGGCTCTTTTCGCCTTAGCAAGAAACCTGGAGAAGTGAAGGAAAAGGCTCCTAAAAAGAAAACAACCGCAGCTAAGCCTAAGAAGCCAGCGACTAAGAAGCCTGCCAGCGCCGCCAAGAAGCCCAAGAAGGCAGCGACAGCGAAGAAGAGCCCCAAGAAAGCCAAGAAGCCGGCGGCCAGCGTGGCTAAGAAAGCAGCCAAGAGCCCCAAAAAGGCGACAAAGGCTGCTAAGCCTAAAAAAGTGGCGGCAGTAGCGAAGAGTCCTGCTAAGGCAAAAGCGGTGAAGCCAAAGGCAGCAAAGCCGAAGGCAGCCAAGCCAAAAGCAGCGAAAGTAAAGAAGGCAGCACCCAAGAAAAAATAAATGGTTTGGAAAAAATCCTGTCTGCCTTGCAGATAAACCCAACGGCTCTTTTAAGAGCCACCCAAGTTTTCACAAAAGGAGCTGAAACTTCTTTTTTACATTTCGGGGTGGGGTGGGTGGGTGTGTGCGCGCGCGCGCGTACAATTTTAACCTTTTTTTCTCCGCTCCTCTCGCTTACTTTTAGGTGGACTCGGTAATAAATTTCCGCGCTCTTGTTTTTTACAGGTGCTGGGCAGCACCGCAGCACAGCTGATTTCAAGAAAGTCCGCTGGCGTTGGTGCAAATACCATCCCGTTATCCGCAAGGAATAGGTGCGAGCCCGGAGTCCCCGTTCGTAGTTAAACAGCGCTCAGGGTGTCCCGGCTCTTGGGAGCAGGGCTGGCAGTGTAGTTTCTCCTATCAGTCTGGAGACGGGAGAGCCGCGTTCGGAAGCACCTCCCTCCGTCCCCGGAGACCGACAGATTTCGAAAAGCCCGCGCTGCGTAAAGATTGGCCGCCCCGCTCTTGGGCTTTTCTACTGCCCAGCAGTTTTCAGGTTAAAAAGGCGCTTCACCTTTTATAAGTTCACTCGGAAGAGGCTTAAGAACTTCCTGGTACGTTTCTTCCCTTCCTCCCTTCCTCCTCGCCTCCCGCTCCCCCACTCCTCCCCCCGGCTTTTCCACTTCCAGTCTAGTTTTCCTCCTTTGGAAACTGTAGGGCGAGGGGGATCTGGGATGCGCGGAGGTTTCGAGCTACCTTGATGCTGCCCGCAGGTCCTCCGCTTCGGTGCTGAAACTCCTGCGCCTTGGCGCTGCCGGGCTCGGCTCTTAGCTGGGTGTTCGTTTCGTCAGTGGAGGCGCTCGGAGACGGCGTTGGGCGTGGTAGGAACCCGCGGGGGTCGGAGCCTCCCTCGTGTCTCCCCCTAACCCTGAAACGGCCTCGTTTCCCCGATGAATCTGTTTTCCTAAATATGGGTTCTTTCAGCTGGCGTGCAAGCCATATACAGAGTCAAAATATTTGATTTTATATCATATCAATGCAGAGATGGGTTCTAGGTGGAATATCCACAAGGCTAGTATGCTTTCAGTATGCCAGGTTTTCATTTTTATGGAATTCGAACAATAAAAAGCTGGTATTTTCTGTATACGTAACAACCTACAGATGTAGTCACTGGTTTTGTGTTCTCTTGTCTCTGTTTAAAGATACAGTGCACATGCTCTATGAGGAAGGGGCTTATGTGAGTAAGGGGCACTCATAGTCTAGGGGTGGGTACTTACCATGTTAATGAGCTCAAAGTTCAAGCAAAGTTGTTCTTTGGGTTTGTAGTTTCATTTGTAGTGTTCTCCAGCTCTTGCTTCTCAGGGCATGGCTCTTGGTTCCTGCAGGTTTAGTTATTCCCTCATTTTTCATAAGTGCTTTTATTAGTGCTGTACTAAACTTAGGTGTATTTGCTACCTTCTCATGGTACTTTATTCAACAACTCAGCCATACTCTCCTTCCCTTGCTTTTACTGCACTCAAGTGATAGATACCCTTCTCTCCTCTTAGCTCTGTCTGTGTGCAGGGGTGGGAAGCAGTCAGGGAGCAGTGAGGGGGGAGAGGCTGTTTCCTTGCTTTAGTCACAGTGCTGGTACTACTGCTTCCCCAAGGAAGAATGGGGAATTTCAGAAAATTACCTACTTAGCTCTCAGCACAGATGGTTGATCTCATGTCCATAGCTGTTAACCTCATATATCTCAAGGGATCACCTGGAAACAGGGTCCCTGCAGTTTGGAAGAGAAATGGTGGGATTTGATTTTACTGGTATTCGTGTTTTCTCAGACTGACAGCATCCTAAATCTGTACTAAAAGGGGAAGAAATAGAAAACAGAGCATCTATTTTGAAGTCTTGTTCCTGAAACACTGTTCTTACTCTTCATTGCCTCTTAGGGTGAATCCAACATTTTGATCCTTGCTTAAGTTTGTGATCTCTTCCTTTACATAACATACACACTGGCATACACACCCCACTTTTCCTGAAATTATCTTGCCATATCCCTTCACCCTGACAGCCTGAATTCCTGAGTTCACTTGCCTGGGCCCCGGTTTGGGGTGGAGATGTGCTTACCAGACTTTCATAGTTAGCATTAGTGGAGGATGTCAGGAATTGCACATGCTAATTCTCAAAGGGCTTCACCCGGCTGGGTGCACTGACCCAAAGAGAGTGGGTCAACTGCAATTTTCCAACCTGCTACCACTATTTCTGGGAGGGAAACTAGAGGGGAGGTGTTTTGACTGGGCACGGTCAAACTGCACGTATATTGTTGTAGTAAACGTGGTATGCTTAATTTATTCTTAAAGATGAGCTTGAAAAGGTGAAACCCATTTATAGTCACATGGGCAAAACCATATCACACACATCCCTTCTAATTGAATTGAACTCAGCAGGACAGCCCTGGAATAAATACTTCGGCCTCTGGATAAGTCTCGGTAATGACAGAAGTTCAGTCTTAGCCAGTTGCAACTTACCCTCGCTGCTCACTTTGGGGAGGCATCGAGCTGGTCCTTTTCTGACAGGTAAGAGGGAAAACTCAAACTGTTATAACTGTATTTATACAGTTATTTTGTATTTATACAATTATATTGGAGCAGTTACACACTTCAGATATTGCAGTAGAAGGGATTTAGAAAATTAGCGCATTACTGAACACAAGTGGTGGTAGAGAGCACTGGCCTATGTACAATAATACCTTTACAGGCAAAGAGTATATAGCTGTGGCTTCAGCTGAATAGACTTTATCACTCTTATCTGGAGATAGCTGCTAAATTATGGAAGACATTGTTCCACACTACAGAAAGGAAGTGTGTATGTGTGCAGGAACACTGAACATATTGGCTGTTTAGGCTCCAGTGTCCAGTACAAAACAAAATTAACATCTGACCAAAAAATCCTGTTAAACTTGTAAAGCTGGTTTGGGCAGTATAGCATAAATACCTATTGGATTTTTTTCTTCCTACTAAAAAAAGGGAGTATAGTGACTAAGCACAAGAGTGGCCTGAGAAAAATCATACTGCAGGGATAAGTGTAATGTCATTTTTATGCCAATTGCACCGCTGGCATATAAGTCTGTAACCCTGATTCATCATTGCTCATTCTTAACCCCTCAGCATTGTGAATGCCATCTCATCTTATCTGTGGGATAGGTGTGCAAAACTCCAGACTGATTCTCCCTTTAGAAATAGCCTGTGTTAAATTGCCAAGTAACTGCCATGATGACCAATTAATGTGTGTCCCTCAGGACCACACATAACCTTCAGCAGGTTTCTCTCCAGCTCTCAAGCAGATTCCTGTTCTGATCATAAGAAAAGTTGATATCCTTAGAAAAAATTTTGCTGTCATGCCTCAAATTTCTAATTAACTTGCTGAACTGGGGTTTAAATATGTGATTTATGATTGCAGTGAAGAGGGAACACATCTCACTGTTCTATGACATCTTTTTTGGACATCTGGGCATTAATTTGTTTTGTCAAACGTGTTAAGATGCCCTATGATACTGGAGAAAGAAGGAAAAGAGATGAACTCTGTTAGTATCTTCTAAGATGTGCTATATGGTAAGATGGACAGCTTGAAAAGGACTTGAGATGTGTTCATAACGAAAAATCAAACCTCAAAACAACTAAGGTGCCCTAATGTTTGATTTTGTTATCTTATAATACTGATGAACTGGTCACACTCCTTATTACAAGGAACATCTTCCTTGCTCATCATGCCTTTATCTCCATACCTCTCCTAGGTGGATGTCTTTTCTATGAACCAATGAGCAGAAACTTCTCCAGACATTTCCTACCACATTCAGTAGTTGCATTAATATCCCAAAATAAGATGCCATCAAGACTTCTGTATTATTTGACAGAACATCTCTATTTATTGAACTACTTATGTCCACTATGTCATGTGCCCAGACTGTTCCACATTTGCAAAGTACTCAGACTAACAGATATTCCGAGATGAATAGCAGATTTGTTAAATTTCTGCAATGCCCTCACTGGATGAACATTTACTTATACTAGAGACTCTAAAGAATACCACTGTTTGGAAAGCAGGTGATAGGGAAAACAGAGCTTTAGGATCTCAGGCAGAAAACATATTTTGTTTTGTGAATAGTTCTCACCTGGGAATGGGATGGCAACCAGGCTGATTAGGAATTCTGTGCAAAAATTTGACACAGAGAACTGAGCTGCTGATGGTGAAAAAGGAGGTGGTTTCATAGGAGGAAAAAAACCAGGCCAGTATGACAGTGGGCAGTCATACTTTGACAGAAAACAAAAGGATCTGCTTTGTCATTTTAAATGCTAAGATGCCCCAAAATGAGGAGGAAGGTCAAAAAAGAAGAGTTCAGCATTGCAAATTATTACAATTACATTTCTCTTCCATAGGGTCAGCTATTTATTTCACAGATGTACTTACTGAGTAAATGTGCATATCAAAAGTTTATGGTGTTCTATGACTGGAAGTAGAAATGGAGAAAGAAAATAATGTCAAATGAATCAGTGAGTTAGAAAAAGGTCTAAAAATAGCAGAACAGACTGTTAGCAACCTGCTAAGAATTCTGTTTAAGTTAGTCATTCACAGAATAATGTGAATAATGCGAATGTTAGTCATTCACTTGGTACCGGTGAGCAGGTCTATGATGGGGTTACAGAATTTTTCATCAGCATTAGTCACCACAAAGCCCAATTGCCTGTCAGATTGCCACAAAACCAGGTAATTTTCATATATGTATTTCTTTACATCCTTGTTCTCTGTTAGTGAGTTGTGTTACTCCTGTGCTTCTTGTGTATCTGTATCTTTTATGGTCATCGTTGTCATGTGAGAGTAAGAGTTTATTCAGCATGGCCTTAGCATGTCTTTGAAAAATTATTAAAAAGTCTCTCTTAGAGGCTCACTTCTTAAAGACACCAACGCTGAAGTTTTATTTCAAGTGAAAGTACTCCAATAGTTTCCAAAAAACCTTCTGCATTTGATTGAGAAAATTGGAAGCTGATCTTGCATAAAAGGTTGAGCAACGTTAGTTTGTGCACAAAGATGTTTCAAATTTGTGCTGGAAACAGTGTTGATAACAAAGGCTTGTTTTCAATATTGCTGAGCAATGTTTACTCAGCATCAAAGCCTTTTCTTCTTTTCGCACCACCCCACCAGTGAGGGGGCTGGGGGTGCACAAGAGGTTGGGAGGGGACACAGCCAGGACAGCTGACCCCAACTGACCAGAGGGATATTCCAGACCATATGGTGTCATGCTCAGGCAGCTAAAGTGGGGAGAAATAAAAGGAAAGGGGGTGTTCAGGGGGATGGCCATTATCTTCCCAAGTCACCATTACGTGTCATGGAGTCCTGCTGTCCTGGAGAACACCTGCCTGCCAATGGGAAGTGAGGAATTAATTCCTTGTTTTGCTTTGCTTGTGTGCATGGCTTTTGCTTTACCTATTAAACTGTCCTTATCTCCAATCACAAGTTTTTACATTTTTCTCATCTCTCTGGAGGTGAGTGAGTGAGCAGCTGCATGGTGCTTAATTGATGGCTGGGGTTAACCCATGACAGATGAATAAAGCAGAGGAAAAGTCCTTCATAGTATCCTGGGCTGAATAAATTGTGAAATGTATGTTGTGTACTTTTCAAGACTAAGTTTACAGGTTCTCAAAAAGAAGGAGCAGAGTGGAGAGACAGCTATAGTGTATGGACAGAAGCTTGGGACAACCACTGTGGAGTCTGGAAGAGTACAATATGAATGGCATTAATACCAGACTTGTTCTCTGCTGGTTGCATGTTGGTATAGATTTGGGCCAGCTTCAGTTCAGGTACAGAACCACTTTTCAACCAGACAGCTCTGACTTGGCAAGGTTACACAACATAGTTTTTCTTCCACAAATTTCTTTTTTACTGCCTAGATCACAGTGCACCCAATCTACTGCTGGGCACTGGGGGTTACCAACCACTTTTTTTTCTGTGGGAATTTGAAATCCCTCTTCGCCAGAACAGGTTGTCAAAGCACAATAAATTCATCAGTGTGACTCCTCCTAAGATTCCCATTCACTCTCCCTACTCTATTTTGAACAATTCTTCCTAGATTTGGATGTGTTTTATTCTGATTTTCACTTTGCAGATTGGTTTTTGTGATCTCTTGTATTTCTATTCCTATGTGAGTTTTGTTCATCATTCCTACAGGCCTTCTGCTGGGACATCAGTGAAACCTCAGTGAGTGGAGAGTTTCCCCATAAATGAGTTCAGGATTGGGCTGCCAGGAGTTGGGGAAAATTTGAAGTGTAGAAAAATAATAATAGGATTATTGTGTACATCAGTCACTGAAAACTTGATCTAGTAAAAGAAGTCCTTACCCACAGCACAAGGGTGTGGGATGTTGACCAAGGACCAAGGCAAGGGCTGTATCTTACTGTCTGTGGCCTACACTGTGTACTTTCTGTGTCCTCTTTGTGCATGGAGGTATGTATCACTGCCGTCAAGTGAGAATGATTTGATTGAAGGAAGAGTTCTTGTGGAGATAAGATGGTCCTGCTTTAGCTCTGAGAAACAACACAGAATAGAACAAAGTCATATTATCTGAACTTTGAGGGACACATGGCCAAAAAACTAATTTTTGCCTAAAAAGGAGTCATTTAACTATTAAAACTCATACTACTACATATGCTAATAAGCTTAATGAAGTATGTGTTACCACATATATGATTATATTACTTAACTCTCCACCTAGATCACGCCATACGTAAGAGGAGAGTGGGATAAGAATGTGCTGTATATAAGAAAGGTAGAAATTTCACCTAATTAGGAGGAAGACCCTAAAAAAAAACCTTGGAGACCATCAACGGGTTACTCTCCTCTCTCTCCTCCCAAGTGGGGAGGCCTTCTTGCTAAGCTTCTGCACACAATTGTTATTATTATTATTATTATTACTATTATTGTTGTTATTATTATTATTATCCAGGTTAACCCAATATTATTGTTCTTGTTGGAGCTCTATCACAGCTTGTGCATTTAGCAATGGCTATTTCAAATCGGTATTTCTGTTGCTTCAACAAACTGCACTATTTTTGAATCTGTGATTACACAAGTTCTTATTGAATGCAACTAGATCTGTAGTGCTGGATCATAAACTGCACTATTTGTGAATCTGTGCTCATGAAAGTTCTTATTGAACACTACTAGGCTTACAGTGCTGAATTTGCAGTAATCAGAAATTAAGCCCAGCTAGAATGCAAGGGTGTTAATTTTCTGCCAATTTTTTAACGCAACACAGAGGTTAATCTATATGATCTTGAGTGTCCCTTACAGTGCAAATAATTCTATGGATCTCAAGTTCCAGTTTAATTCATTCTCACAGACCAGAAGATATTTGATGTATACTTTAGAATCAGCTGGAAGGGAAGAAGAGAGGGAACTCAGCTCCAAACTTGCTTCACTTTATTAGTTGTATTTCTGTCATGAGTTTAAAGAAATTCTATGGAGAAGCATGTATCTATTATTTTTTAAAAAAATCCTTTTCCAGATTGTTCTGACATTTTGCAAAGGATGTAGACAGCAAGAGACACAGAATATTATATGTAGTCACAGACTCTTGGGCAGAAGAAGCTCATTATGGGGGAGGGTTATACTATGAGGCTCTAACTTAATTTCATTCCCTTTAAAAAAAAAAGGCAGAAACAAAAATTCAGCTTTGCAGAGCTGGACAGCTTATGAAAAATGCATAGGTATGTGATTTGGCAAAGCCCAGAATTTTCTGATAACCTCATGGCAGACATCTGCAAGTGGTAATAACTCCCAGGAGAGGCCCTTGATACAGAGTCCCTGAAGTCTGATTGAGCAGACTGAACAACTGGATTTTCATGGCGGAGCGGGTTCAAGCAGCTCTGCAGCAGCCAGTGCTAAACTACTCTGTAACATCAAGTGGATTTGTTTGTGTACACAGAGAGTGAAAAAGCCAGCTGGAAATGTTACACCAAGTGTATCCTTACCAGTGCAGGGCATACCTACCTTACTGTCAAAATCTCCTGGGAATGACAGAGGAAGTGACTATGGAGTGCCCAGTTTCTCCTGGTAGCCTGGTCTTCCGCAGCAGCCCAGTCATGGTCCCTGAAATTCCCCCCGTGAAAGGAGCAAACTGGCCTTACGAGAGAGAACACCATGAACTTGGCTTTGGCATCCCCACTGTACTCTGGAAATAAAGTACCTCCATTGCCCAATCTAGAATGCTATCACGTTCCTTGTGGAACAGGGCCTTTGTTACTGGTTTGAAACTTTAGGATGTCTCCTTTGGAGTCTAGGTATTTGTCTTGCCCCATTTGGGTTTCTTTTGGGCCTGTGCTGAAGAAACTACGCATGAATGACATGGCAGACTACATTATTTTCATTTGTCAGTGAGGAGCCACTGGAACACTAATTTCTCTGCTAACAGATGCAACATCTGTACCTGTGATCTGTATGAAGATAGAGGTTGATTATTGTTTAATCTTATGTTCTATCTTTATGAAAGTGTACATTACAGAAAGCTGCCAAGTTTGTAGGAAAAAAACCCACACAAAAAAACCCAAAAAATGTCCATGAGAGGGCAGCAAATGCTCAATATTGGAAACTTTTTTTACCCTTTTGATAAATACTTGTTTTCAACAGAAAAGTCTCAGAATATTTTCCTCTGCTAAAGAAAGCAAATCCAGAGCTGAATACCTACCCCACAAGTACAAGGCCACCCTTATTTTATGTATTTAATTTTTCAATGTCTCTAAAAATAGCCACATTCTTGTCTTTGCCACTACAGCAGTGGAAAATCCTGTTTAAAAAATCGTTTTATCTTTTAAAAATGAAACTGAAACATGTAAACTCTTGATTAGTGTACCCTTACTGCTAAACTCACCTTCAGACAACTTTCAGAGAGAACAGGAAATGAAGATGAGAAAAAAAATCGAGGAGGGGTAGAATTTCTCTGAAACATGATTGGGCAGACTTCGCTGCAAGATTATCCGTTAAAAAATGTGTGCAGTAACTATATAAACAGTAAAACCGCACATGAGAATGTATGTAAACTGGTGTAATTGAAATACATAGGACATACAAATCTTTGAAAATAATTATAGTGAAAAGATCAAAACGTAATTTAAGAGAATCAATAACTGTAATAATTTTCTATGAGTGAGCTTTTTCTTCTAAACGATCACAACACATCAATTATTTTTAAAAACATATATAAACTATTATACACAGACACAATGAGTTTACTGTTAAAAAAAAAAAAAAGACAAAAAATCGAAACCAAAACCAAACAAACAACAAAATAAATTAAAACAAATAAACAAACAAAAATCGAACGCACCGAAAAGTGGCAGAAACACCGAACCGCTTGCGCTGCGGGGAAGGGAAATTCGCAAAAATTCCGCACACTTTTGCTCGCCGGTCGTGCGATACAGAGGAGGTGGCGGGAGCGTGACTAATGCTCCGCCCCCGCGCTCTGCAGTCCTCAACCAGGTCGGACCCTCGGCAATATATAGGCGCTGGGGCCCATCCTCGCTGCACAGCGGCTGCAGCTGAGCAAGGGGCGCCATGTCAGGCAGAGGCAAGGGCGGGAAGGGGCTCGGTAAGGGCGGCGCCAAGCGCCACCGCAAGGTGCTGCGCGACAACATCCAGGGCATCACCAAGCCGGCCATCCGCCGTCTGGCTCGGCGCGGCGGCGTCAAGCGCATCTCGGGGCTCATCTACGAGGAGACGCGCGGTGTGCTCAAGGTCTTCCTGGAGAACGTGATTCGCGACGCCGTCACCTACACCGAGCACGCCAAGAGGAAGACGGTCACTGCCATGGACGTGGTCTACGCCCTCAAGCGCCAGGGACGCACCCTCTACGGCTTCGGCGGCTAAGCCGAACCTTTTGGTCCTGGATCACCTCGAGAAACCGAACCCAAAGGCTCTTCTAAGAGCCACCCACTTTTTCCATTAAAAGAGCTGTGTTAACTTTTTTAAGTGTGTAGTATCCAATTTACTAAGATTATTAGCACTAGTGATGGAATACCATTGCTATGCATTGTGGTTAACCCTGTGCTGTGTAATGTGTAACTGCTGCTAACGGGGAAATGCTCATTCCTGTGTAAGATGCGCTTTTCCTTGTGTATTCCAAATTCTCTTAGAAACGTACCCCAATAAAAATCACTTCGAGCGCTATTTAGTTAAAACTGAAATCCTACTTTTTTTTTAGTGTTCGCCAACTTAAACAACTATCTTAAGTACAATTTAGTGGTTTGTACTTCAAAATTTTTGTTTAGGTAGATACTTGTAAACCAATTAGCTAGGGAAAAATAAGAAACTTACTCTGAGATAAACGTTTTCTTATATTTCTAATTTTTATAAACTTCCTTTCCATGTCAAATGGTTTATTTCTAGAAGAAATCTCAGTAAATCTAATATTATTTCATAGAGATCATATTTTTAATTGGTTTGGAGGGAAGGGAAGGGCTGGGAGGGGACAGGACAATAAAACCAAATCATGACCCTAGAAACACATTAAAAAAAAATTTCAATAGAAGACGTGTGCGAGCACTTTGCATAGGAAGAACACTCCAGTCTGGGACTCACTTCTAAAGTATTTTTGTTGTACTTCCTTCATCACTGAAGGGAAAAGACCAGGATTTCAACTTTACCTAAAACCTTTGGAGATCATTTGCCACCTGCAAACAATGATAATAAATACTCGTGGTCACAACCTGATTTTGTCACAAACTTAATGAGCAGAGACAAATTAAATAATAGCGTGATACCATATTCCTTAAGCTTTTAATTTCACTGGAAATAAAAAAAAATTACTTGCCTGAGTAGTCTCAAAGTCACGATTTTACCTGGCGATATGTAAGGCCTCTCATTCAGAATTTCCTAGTGAAAATAAAACTAGAGAAAAAATAGAAAAACTAGGAAAAAATAGGAGGAAAACATTAAAATATGATCTCCATTGTTACAGCTTGTTACATACTTGGTACAACTTGTTATAGGTACGAACTTGCATTATTAGATTCTTTGAGCGCCTGATTTAAAGGTAACAGCCGGTTTTTCCTTTGAGACTTTCGAGATAACGTGCCCTTTAACATAAGAAATAGCTCTCTACGGCACTGAAGTAAGTTTTTCCTTATTTTGTTATCACCGCAGGAGACTGGCAGAATCTAACCAGAGGGGATACGAGCGCAGTGTCTGAAATACCCGCCCCGCCCCAGGCCACGGACCGGCAGCAGGGTCCGCGGGGCTGCGGCCGGGATTGACACGGCAGCCAATGAGAGCGCGTTCCTGTGGTCCAATCAGAGACGAGGCGGCTCTATAAATAAAGGCGTTGCACCGACTACTACAGTTACTTGGTGTTCTTGTTCCGAAGGTTTGGGATCGGGGAGCGATGGCGCGCACGAAGCAGACGGCGCGGAAGTCGACGGGCGGCAAGGCGCCCCGCAAGCAGCTGGCCACCAAGGCGGCCCGCAAGAGCGCGCCGGCCACGGGCGGCGTCAAGAAGCCGCACCGCTACCGGCCCGGCACGGTGGCGCTGCGCGAGATCCGCCGCTACCAGAAGTCCACCGAGCTGCTCATCCGCAAGCTGCCCTTCCAGCGCCTCGTGCGCGAGATCGCGCAGGACTTCAAGACCGACCTGCGCTTCCAGAGCTCGGCCGTCATGGCGCTGCAGGAGGCCAGCGAGGCTTACCTGGTGGGGCTCTTCGAGGACACCAACCTCTGCGCCATCCACGCCAAGCGCGTCACCATCATGCCCAAGGACATCCAGCTCGCCCGACGCATCCGCGGAGAGCGCGCCTGAGTCTCCTGCCGCAGCCCTTTCCCGACAAGGCACGCAGGCAGCCCACACAGACCCAAAGGCTCTTTTAAGAGCCACTACACAGGTCAATAAAAAGAGCTGTAATGCTGTTTTAAAACGATCAGGGTTTTAACATTTTTTTTCAGGCTGAAAGCTCTTATTCTGAGGTCCCAGCTGCTCTTATTTCTGTCCCATCTTATTTTACTGCTTCCTGCATATAAATAATTGTCCTTAATAAACCCCACAAGGCTTAATATTTCCCTGTTTGCAATTCACCCGCGGCACTTTGCAAATATTAAAGGGGAGTAACAGGTGCTTCATGAACACTGGATGAGAGAAGGAGACAAATCGAAGGGTTGAAATGAGAGATCGATATATTACTTAAAGAGGGGTTGAGCAGACAACCTGAGGCAGGATGGAGGGGTCTACATCCCTATCACAATGCTGGACTTTACACAGCATTGTGAGAAGGGAGGTAGAAGGATAGTGGGTGGGGGGAGGGAATAGGTTTAAGCCTCTGTCCAGGGAGGGCCCCCTGTGCTCAGGAAATCTGCACCTTAAACTCTGGGGCTGGCTGGGTTAAAGGAAGAGCAGAAACTTCCTGTGGCTCCTTGGAACTGTGTTACTGTCAAACCTGGCTAAAACAGATTGTCTTAAAGGGGGCTTCCACCTTGTTCAAACCACTGTTAATGCCAGAAGCAAGAATATCCACCTCAATAAACCAGTTCTGAGGCTGATCTAAAAATGAGGGACTACCACGCTGATGACACAGGGCACCTGAGGCTTCTTTCTGGCAGCACAGAAAAGCACCTGAAAAGGTCAAGAAACTGATCGAAAAGTACTGTAGACAGGAATAGATTATTGTGTTTGTCCAGATTTGTTGCCATATAATAATAAAAACAGTCGGAAAAAGGTTATGTATTTTCTGAGCATTTTTTTGGGAGGACAGTATTTTTAATAAGAGTTTTATAGAAATCTTGGAGCAGAAACTTATGTGCTCTTGTAATAACAGATATAAATGTATTTGTCTTTGAATTTACACTTCTCCAAGTAGTGATCACAATATCTGACATGCTGAGTTGTCAGATTTCTGCAGTCAGTTCTTTAGGATTCTTCATGAGTATCTGGAAAGATAGATGAATATGCATGCAGCTTTCAAATTTCCAAGAACCCACCTTTGCTCAAATTGTTACTTAGACAAGACTGGTCTAACAAGAGTCTGAGAATTAAATTAGGAAGTAAAAATTAGGCCTCGGATTCATAACGCAGATTCATACATAGTTGATGTTTCTCCTCTTATTTTGGGAAACATCTTCCTGTCTTCTACCCATTTGCAAACACATCTGGTACCTGGGGTGCAACAACCCTGAGTGCTGAAGGCTGCTATTAGAAGCCAGAGCGGTCACCTGTTGTCATTAGAGGCTTCTGGGCATTATTTGCCTTCTTAAAGACGCTGCGCCATAGACACAATCTGTCAGAGATGGCACTCAGGTAGATGAGAAAAGAAAGTGTAAAGACTCAGTAACAAACAGATAAGATTAAGGTTTGTTCAGGGGTTCAGTCTTCTTTTTTTTTTCCCTGCTTGTTTTTTTCTTCCTCCCACATAAATCCCCCTGAATGAATTTGTTGGTCTACATGGCCTTATTTTGGAATCAAGCTGCAATGAAAGCAGAGCTACAGTGTTACCAAGTGCTGAATGGAATGGCTGTGCAGTCTGTATTGAACAGTATGTTACTTTGTTTTATTATATATTTCACCTCTGTTTCAAGATACATTTCACCTCTATTCCTTAGCATGTAAATTAAAACTTTTTCTGAGTTTGAAGTAAATGGAAATAAAAGAAGCCTAACTGATAAGAAAGAAAATATTTGCAGGTTTTGGAATTTAAGTTGTATAGAATTGCATGACAAACATTTCTCCTTGTTTGATTAGGCAGCATGATGTAAGAAGAGAATTTTAACTCACAGCCTGGGGAATGAAGGAAACCTTTCAACCAGCCATAAAAGTTCCATATGCTCTTAAAAGTCAGACAAATGCAGAAACAAAAGCATAATCTCAGACCTTGTTCCTTCTGCTTCAGTTGTCTTAGAGCATATTTAATGCTAACTAGAAAAAATAAATAAAGAAACTCTGTCTTATTTCTAACAAGTATCACTAATAATACATTGCCAGTGTGAAACAACAATTCGTATCAGCATGGAGCCTACTGAAGTCCTAGAGCATAGGCTGACAAGTAGTTAATTTTAAAATTATGATAATATAATTTCTTATAAATTAAACCTATAGGCACAGTCTCTGTGCTATACCAATAGGAGCACTGCTGCTTTCAGAGGCCTAAAATTGTTACCTTGCACTGCAAGTGGTGAGGTAAAAAGGGCTGAATGGAACAGAACAGTTTCAGCTATAAGAGACTCACAATGGTCATCTAGTCCAACTGAGAAGTAGTTCCTACCATTCAAAATACCATATCATATGGTTGGAAATGCAAAAAAAAAAAAAAAAAGCCAGGTGCTGCTGAGGCAGAGAGGTTTGGGAAAGAGACGGAGGTGGAAGGATTTGAGAACTAAAATTTTTGAGGGGAAAAAAAGCATATAAATGTATGTATACAGGTATAGAATATGTACATATATGTACGTGTATATACTTTGATACCTACATCACTATGGTATAAATATTTCTTACATATACCATGTTTATGTCCTGCCGGGTGTTTCAGAAACACACCATATGAAACTTCTTACAGACTCCCCCAGATGCCATACTCAAGTACGTGAAGTTTAATTTCAGACCAATTTGGCTGGTTACATTTACAGAAGTGTATTGGATAGGCCAGAGTCCATTATCAAGGGAAAAGGAAAAGATGTTGGGACAGCAAAACAGCAAAATCCATAGGAATGTGGATGGTTTATTTGTGAATTAATAGAAAACTTACCTCTCTAAAATAATAAAACAGCAAGAGTCTACAAGCCTCAAACAACTAAAACTGAACTAAAGGCCAAGTGTAATTTCTTTACTACAAAACTTTATTGAATCAACAAAATTCTCCTAAGTGTTGACCTTCTGATTCCCTGATTTTTTTTTCTTCTACTGACTCAGTTTTCTTCTTATTGAACACAAACCCCTTGTCTTCGATTACCAAAATCGTATAAGCCTCTTTGCTGCAGCTCTCCCATTAGTTACAAAGGTGCAGAAGCTTGACAGCCTCTTCCTTTCCCTTGGTTGATTTGGCACCATGCAAAAGCCAGAAAAACTTTTCCAGAGCCAGTGCTCTCAAGGTATTTCAAAATCAGAGCAATGACTTCCCAAAAATAAACACCAGATTCTCTTTGCCTTTTCCAAACTGTCCTTAGTCCTTTTCTCCAGCCTTTTCTCAAAGTCACGACAGAAAAAAGAATTAAGAATAAAAGTGACAATAATTTATCATTTTTTTATTCCTTTCATCAAGTTTATAATCTTAACACTGTTTTATTCATGTGATAGAGGCAGGGCTGACATATCCAGCTAAAGTTTCTTTGGTACATCATAGTCAAAAACAATAAGAGTATAATGGTTAATAAAAAGCTGATTGAAACTTGAAGTTTGTCTTCCAATACTAACTCAGGTTATGCCTTCCATAATGCTTAAAAGTAAAAGGCTGCTCTACTCAATAAAAATTATGGCAAACATAGCACTTTACAGGAAGCAGTATGTAAGGAGTGGGAAGGATGCAGGGAAAAATGGGTGTAACTTGTCTGTAGTAGTGTGTTGCTTTTTCTCATTTGCTTTATCTCTACATCACTCCTTTTGTGCAGCTTACTTTATAGTTAAATGGGCATTTCCAGGCACCTCACTCAAACTGCACTAAACACTGCTCAAAACAATACAGTAGTTTAAGGTGACTACATAGCAAGGTTTACAAAGTTGTTATCGTTAGAATTGCAATAACCAATAAGAACTTCAGAACCCCTAGCTTGTAAGAAAGTATGAGAAAAGCCGTTTCAACTCTCTTGTGGAATGTAGTGGCTCTTAAAAGAGCCTTTAGGGTGTGGGGATAATGATCAGGATCATCTAGATGGAACCTGTGGCCGCAGAATCAGGCGCGCTCTCCGCGGATGCGTCGGGCGAGCTGGATGTCCTTGGGCATGATGGTGACGCGCTTGGCGTGGATGGCGCAGAGGTTGGTGTCCTCGAAGAGCCCCACCAGGTAAGCCTCGCTGGCCTCCTGCAGCGCCATGACGGCCGAGCTCTGGAAGCGCAGGTCGGTCTTGAAGTCCTGCGCGATCTCGCGCACGAGGCGCTGGAAGGGCAGCTTGCGGATGAGCAGCTCGGTGGACTTCTGGTAGCGGCGGATCTCGCGCAGCGCCACCGTGCCGGGCCGGTAGCGGTGCGGCTTCTTGACGCCGCCCGTGGCCGGCGCGCTCTTGCGGGCCGCCTTGGTGGCCAGCTGCTTGCGGGGCGCCTTGCCGCCCGTCGACTTCCGCGCCGTCTGCTTCGTGCGCGCCATCGCTCAGGAGGAGCAGTCACCGCCAAGACCGCAGCGACAAAATAAAACCGCTTCGCTCCCGCGGGCGGCTTTTATAGAACGTTCCTCACCCTGATTGGCTGCCGAGAATCCTCCGCTTTTATTGGATAATTTCGAATTCGAAAAGCCCGCCCGAAAAGCGCGCGCGCGCCCTCACCAACCGGCCGCCCGCGCGCGGCCTCCCCCGCCTCTCCCCCCCCGCCGCGTCTGCTTTCAGCGTGGTCTGTTTCTTATAACGATTTTTACAGCCTACCACGAAAATAAAACCTTCGGGGGAAAGTGTTCAAAAGGGAAATAATTGGAAATTATGCTCTGTTAAACGCTCAATTAAAAGAAGAAACTTTCTTAAGCTTTAGCGCACCGAATGCACAAAGAATAATGGACGACTGCCTACACTCCACTTTTAGAGGTCAAACGGGATCATTCCAGTATTTAATTTTTTAAGAGGCTTAAGGAGCGACCAGCCGTGATACGTCCCACAAAGTACCACAATAGACATTAACATAACTTAAGTGTAAACTTATCTACTTCCACCATTTATTTTAAATAAACAGATGACATGCCTCTAAAACTGGTCACCTCGGATCAGGAGTTCCAAGTTTAGAGTGCTTTGCTACTCGTTTTGCTTTTACAGAGACGTGAAAAAAAAATTGTCCTAAACCTATATTAAAAGAATGACTATGCCCCCGCCCCTCTATGCAAGACGGGCCCCCAAAATGTTACTCATATTTAGTTAATAGGTAATTAACAAAGACATTTTCTTAAAGCAATAAGCAATAGGAACTAAGAATAATGTACAGATTTTAAAACCACTTCTTTTTTACCAGCTTTGAAGCAACTCAGCTCTTTTTTTGTTTAAGTGGGTGGCTCTTAAAAGAGCCTTTGGGTTCGTTTCTCGAGGTGATCCGGGAACAAAAGGTCTGTTTTAGCCGCCGAAGCCGTAGAGGGTGCGTCCCTGGCGCTTGAGGGCGTAGACCACGTCCATGGCCGTGACCGTCTTTCTCTTGGCGTGCTCGGTGTAGGTAACGGCGTCGCGAATCACGTTCTCCAGGAAGACCTTGAGCACGCCGCGCGTCTCCTCGTAGATGAGCCCCGAGATGCGCTTGACGCCGCCGCGCCGAGCCAGACGGCGGATGGCCGGCTTGGTGATGCCCTGGATGTTGTCGCGCAGCACCTTGCGGTGGCGCTTGGCGCCGCCCTTGCCGAGCCCCTTCCCGCCCTTGCCTCTGCCTGACATGGTGCCCCTCGCTCAGCCGCAGCCGCTGTGCAGCGAGGATGGGCCCCAGCGACTATATATTGCCGTGGGTCCGACCTGGTTGAGGACTGCAGAGCGCAGGGGCGGGGTTCCCATCACTTTTTCCTGTGATGGATGACGACACACCGTTTCTGCAACCTGTTAGAGAGCTGCAAAGTCTACAATATAAACAAAACACCACGTCTTCCCCCCCAAAAAAAATTCAGACGAGATACGTGTTCGTACAGTTGAAAAGCTTTTTTTCTCTCTCCTTAGATTTGTATAAACCATTTTTATATGTGTATGTATTTTATTTTATTGCGCGAGCTGATGTTGGTTTGAATTACTTTAAATTATCATTATTTTCATGCTGTTGATCTTGATACTTTTGGTTTATTTGTGTTCAAAGTGCTGTAAACTTTTCTACAGAATTTTTAATGATTTCGGATCTCTTACCAGTTTTAGGAAATTTTGCAGAATATCTAATATATTGGTTACTTTATTTCCATTTCTACCTCCCATTTCTCAAATCTTCAATTTTTACATAAGTAGCTTTGTGTCTTTAAGCACATATTAACCAGAAGGTGGAATAGAATCCTTTTTTATAATGCTAAACCTACATTATTTTACGACTTCTGCTAGTTTTGCACCTTTCCAGTTACTGCAGTGGGGTAATTTTTTAGGTTTTTACCAAAGGTTCTTTACTACAACTGTAGACCTAAATTTCTACTCCCTAATTAGTAAAAGAACAAAACCTGCTCTTGACAGAAGACCATGCATTTGGATCTTTACCTGTTTTTATTTTCCTTTTTTTTTTAAGAGATCTAAATCTATACTTAAAAAAAAGGAGATTCTGAATTATTATTTATTAAAGCAAGGAGCAATCCTTGACATAAGATGTTCACAATGTCACATTGTAAGAACATCCTGAGCTGGAATAACTGCTAGACTAACACCTAAAGAATGTTTCCTTTTTTCTTCCCAGAAAAAAAAAAAAAGTTTATTATTTATTTTCTTTTGTCAAATTCTGTATGAAATGCAAATATAATTTCTGTGTACTTTTTTAAACTGTACCATTTTAGAACATACAATAAGTAGATTCTCTATTGTGAAACCAAACTGGGAAGAAGCAGCTTCCCTCAGTCTGTTTAAAAATGATGGAATTACAATTACATTCTATCATAAAACCAAAAAAGTGTTTTGCTCTCTAAGGTCATAATAAAAGCATAAAAGAGGAGCTCATTATCCTGACATTTCAAATATTTTTTCTAATATTGTCCCTAGGTGGTTGCGTGGTCAATATCAAATCTATGGCTTTTTGGGGGTGTTTTTTGGTTTGTTAGTTGGGTGGGTGGGTTTTTTGAGACAAAGACAACAATTATGATTTAGATAAAAATTGTCTTCTCCCTATCTAATCTGTATCACTTCAGAAACGGGGTATATTAAGAAACATGGGGATCTCTGCTTATCCCCTCTTTCAATATGAAGCAACCCCCACTGCACTCTTCTCATCAGTTGCTGTCATTCACCAGGCAGAACCATTCACAGCTTCTACCTACACTGTAGAAACTGCTTCCTGTTGCAGAGGTGCAGAAGAATGCATATATATAATATTAAGTCTCCTTAGATTTTGGATAGTCCTGAGATCTTCCTGGGAGGAGTGAACAGGTGAGCTGAGTATGATTATATGATTATATGATTATATGATTATATGATTATATGATTATATGATTATATGATTATATGATATATATGAGTATGAGTATGAAGTGAGTATGATTTTGAATCTTAAAAAATGTATTATGCTGGCTACAGTTCTTGTTTATACTGAACTGTCAGGTCACAAAACAGTAAACAAATTCAAGCCTCCTCTGCTGTAACTAACCTAAAGAAGAATTCCAGAAGAGGGGTTTGTTTGTTTGCTTGAGGTTTTAGTTCATTGGTTAATTGGGTTTTTTTCTAATTCTAACTGTCTTTTCTTCATTTAGTAGTGCCATACTAGCAGCAGAACACCAAATTTCAATATCCTTCCCTTTCTGCTTTCCAATCCATACTTACTAGTGGCAGTCCTCAATCAATAGTAGTTAAAATTTTGTTCGTTTATCATATCTAATCTAATCAAATCCACGAGGTGGAATCAAGACATAATTCTGCAAAATAGAGGCAAAGGCTAAGTCTCTAGTGTACTAAGAACACTGTCTGTATATTCCCATGAGTTTTTTGCTCTCGTCGTTTGGTTTCCGTTTGTAAGTTTTCAGATCCCTTGCTTGTACTCTGGTTTGGCATCCCCTAGGTAATGAATGTGATGTTTTTTAATATGTGTCTAAACTCTACCTCAAGGTAGGTCACCTATAGAGTATTGTGTCTGTATTCATAAACTCAGGATGGGTAAATAGAATATGTAGCTATTAATTTAATAGTGACTTTTAAAAAAAATCATTAATTATACGTTACTAGAGCCTCAAGGTTTGAGTTTAGATCAATGTCACACATTCTAACTTAAGAATATATATGAATAAAATTCTGGAAACACATTCAAGTTTTCGGACCAGTAGTTTTGAATTTTGTATTGGAGAGTTTTTCATATTCCTTCTTTTCCACTCACTGGCAGCTGGTGCTTCATTCCCTCTTCAAAATATTCTCTGTCATTCTCAAAGGAAGAATAGAATTGCAATCTGTCATTTATGACTGAGACAGGTTGTACAGATCCCTGCTTTGCACTGTTGCATGCTCCTGTGATCTGCCAAGCTGAACACATAGTAGATCTCATCTGGTCCACCTGGAGGAAAGAAACAAATTCTTCCCTCGTACTGAAAACGTGGGCGCTTTTGACAGACCAGCACACACTCACAGGAGAAAGGCAAAATGACAGTGAGCTGGAGGAATAATTTTCTGTAAAGAAAAATAAGGTACTGTAAAGAAAAACTGCATGTATCTTAACACCAGGGAGACTGAAGGGTTACCATGGTTTTTGACAAGACAGCTGCACCAGTGAATCATCAGGTTCCCTCAGACTGACGTCTTTCTGAGCAAACCAGACTAAAATACGGGGTAGGGAGGGTGGGCCATGTATATGTGGCTCTGTCCAACACAAATTACAAAAACTGGACAAAATGGAAAGGTTTGAAGGGAGCAATGGGCTTGAGATGGTTTCAATCAATATATTTCTTCACAGGGACTGAGGCCAAGCATTGACATCGAGTGTATAGAGACTATAATGAGAATCACATTTCTACTGTGATTCAACTGTATATTGCAAATGCTTTGTTACACTTGTGATGCAATTTCAGTACATTGCTGTATCCCTCTGCTAATTCAAAATCCAATGTAATGTCAATAAGACAATTTGGGATTAAACATTAAACTCTCCTCATGTGTAATATCTGAAAGAACTTGGATTGAGAGTATTCAGCCTCTACAGCACGGAGATCTGATCAGCTGGGACCTGTCTCTACATCTGCGTAGGACTGTAAACTGCACAAGATCTGACTTCTTTGGCAGACTTTAAGCTTTTAAATGTACACCTGAGGTCCTTGTTCTCTGTATCCTCGTGCCCATATACTCCACCTTCAGTTCAGCACATAAACCACGCTACAAAGTGTTGTTCACCGAAATAGATCAGCCCACATAAGTTTGGTAAAAAATTTTTTATGCACAGAAATCTTTCATTTTGAGACTGAGGTCTGAGTCAATATTTGCATGTGTAGATTTGCCATTTGGAAGGAATCTTCTGGCAGTAGCATAGTTGCAAAACTGTTTTATGCTGCTTAAGCAAAACTAGCAGACAGCGTCACAAATTTGCTTTAATGGTTGGTACTTTTATAACTAATTTAATGTTTCCTCTTTCCCCTCTAATTGAGAAAGTGAGAGGTGGAGAGCCTCATTCTCACCTTTTTATTTAAGCACTCCTGTCAATCAGAGACACAAGAGGTTGGGCTGCAGCCCTGGTTTGGACTGTTTTCAACCTCCTTCTTGCTGCCAAATTCAGAAACTACATAGAGACTGATAAATCGAGAAAAGACCTCTGTCGTGGTCCAGTAGCTTAGGCTGCATCCTTTGAGGATGCAGTTTCCCATTCACAGAGAGTGGCTCACAGATCAGATGATCCACACAGAGGCAAAATCTTCCAAAAATTGTCTCATGGCCATGTTGTCTGAGTGACTGTCATGGAGAAGGCTTGCATGGGCTTCACCCCTACCAGTCCATGCACAAGCTGCAGTCTTACAGGCTCACTGAATAGTTAGTATAGCTGAATAGGTCCATGAACAAAGGCTGGAGAAACTCCTAGATCAGGTTTGGAGTATTGAGAAGTTAATAAGATATCTAGTTCTTCATGTAAAGCTTTTCCTAGGATGTAGAGAGAAGGGACAGCATCGATAACCTGTTAGTGGGGGCAAGGGCAGCCTGGGCTTCTCCCAAGACACCAAAGGACCTCTCTAACAAGTGCTCTGGGTGGTTTCCCTGAACCAGGGTGGCCTGTAGAACTCTGTAGCACGCCGTGAGAGTCTGCTCCTGCATTCAGGTAGACACAGCAAACTAGACACTTGGCAACCACAACAGACACATGACTGCTTCTCTCAAATCCTTACTCTGCTTTCTAAACTGGCATTTGAAGCAGCACAGGTCTCATGACACGCTGACCATTGATTAAGCTAGAAAAAAGTATCAAGAAAGCATTGTAAGCAACGTATTTTTTTGCACAGCTGAGACTGAGCAGCTCCACTCACACAGAGCTGCTCTGGGCAGTAAGTTTTGCAGCTGAACTCTGCCAACTCTTATAGAGTTCTAAATACTTAATAGCAGCTGAAGTACTGCCTTGTCCAAATGGTCTCTCTGGGGCATAGTTTTCCAAGTAGTGAATCTAATGTGGGCATCCCTGTAGGAATTTATTGAATTTTGTCTTGGACTCTGTGTTTCTGGAGAAAGCCAAGTCCGAAAAATGGTGATGTGCATTGTGTTGGTGTCTCCAGACACTACTGCTATGCTTTGTTTTTGTTACAGTAGTACTTAGTTGGAAAA